ACGAGGCCGTAGACATCGATAGCATCTTCCCCGCCCGCGAACGCGTTCTGCTTGCCACGGAGGAAACCACGAACCCGAAGGACACGGGGCATGCATCCCCAGGCCGTCCCCTGGGAACAACTATTCGTCCTGAAAGCTTTTTTTTTTTTAAAGTTTTAACGAGTTGCCGTGAGGCCGCGCTCCTTCTGTCCCCCCTCGTTAATTCAAGCTTCGCGCGGCCCGCTTAGCTTCGACCGGAAGAGGTGCGATCTCGACCCGCGAATCAAAAGTGTTTTTTTAAGAGCCTGGGGGCCCGTGGAGGCCCCCCCGACTCATGACCCCTTCCCCTTCCGACCCGTTTGCACCATGGCGTAATGGTCTGTCCCTCTGAGCCCAGCGCAGGTCACTGAACGCCAGGACGACGCGACGAGGCGCTACCGGTTGCCGCGGAGGACGCTGGCCGGCTCGGCACGCGGCAGATCCAAAAGAATCGCCCCAGAAGGTGCAGGGAACGGACAGCGCCCTCCTCCTTCTCCTCCACCTCCAACTAAAAACTCCTCCTCCTCCTCCTCCACCGCCTCCTCCTCCTCACTCTTCCTCATGCATCCCTCCTCCTTCTCCGTCTCCTCCCTCTTCCTCCTACCTCTTGCCTTCTCCATCTCCTCCCTCATACTTCTTCCTCACACTCATCCCGTCTTCCATCCTCTCCTCGCCCCCCATTCCTCCTTCCTCCTCTCACCTCGCTCCTCTCCTCCTCCTCCTCCTCCTCCGCCTCCTCCTCCTCCTCGTCCGACTCCTCCTCCTTCTCCTCCTCCTACTCTCTAACTCCCATTGACCCCTCCTCCTGATCCTCCTCCTCCGCCTCCGCCTCCTCCTATCCCTGCTCGAGAGGAAGCCCCACGAGGCAATCTAGTACGACAGCTTGGCCGTGGAGTAGAGCGACGTAAATAAGTTGTGAAGTGAAGTGTGCAGTTGATGGATATTACCCCTTCCTGAGCTGCGGTGCACGTTCATAACTGAGCTCGCTATCTTTGCGGAACCAGATATCATGCATATTGATTGGACAGACTCATATCTTTGCCGTAGATGGGATTTCTGATGCAGATGTCTCGTGGGCAGTTTCAAGTATTGTCTCTATTGATGGAAGTTGTGAGTATGAGGCTTATCAGGACTTACTAGCATTGGAGAACGCGGCTTGTGCACGGCCCAGTGTTAGTGACGAATTTCGTGCTAATTGGTAGGCCAAGAGGATGGACCCGTGGTCTACCATCAAGTGGTCTCGCCTTTTGTGGGAAGAGTGCTTCTTGGTGCATCCATACTTATCCAGATTATCTCAATGATTGGGATCTCTGAATGCATGGAGTCTCAGTGCGTTGTGAACTCGTTCGTGAACAAAACCACAGATCAGCCCTAAGGCTGCTCGCCAGGCCGCGCCCCCGTGCAGGCGAGGCAGCACTCGCATCTGCCTTGATGTCGCCGCGGACGGGAACTGACTAGAGAGGGTAAGGGTTCTGAAGGATCCCCCCCTCCCAGAGCAAATTTTCTGAAGGACTTCTGATCTAGAGATTGCTTGAATGGGCAGTGAGACTACTCGAGGGGAAACCTTGACGGCTCAAGGAGCCGCCATGATTTCCCAGACGGCCCGAGAGGGCCACGAGAGGTCGAAGGGATTGCCCAACAGGATTGCAAGCCACTTCAAGGCCCCAATGGAGGCCTCCAAAGGGCGCACGAGGGGCCCCAGGAGAGGTCCGGTGGCGGCCTCTGAGGGAGAATCGTGAGGCAATCGGGGCGCTCCGGGGCCCTCTTGGGGCCGTGGTAGGGCCATGTCGGGGAGATGCAGGATTCGGGTTCGGGGTAACCTCATGCCCGTGAGAATAAACACTAGGGGATAATAAAGTTCGGGGTTCAGGGAGAGATAATAAAAGTAGCCCAGCAGACCTCAGCATAATCTCGAAGTAAGAGATGATCAAGAGGAGACCAAGCCGAGCATGTTTTGAGACATCCTTGGCGTTTAGTTTTCATAGAAATATCATCAGCAATGGCTTATCTCTCATGAAAATTGTTTTTTGTAAGTGCTCGTGTAGGGTAGCTCATGTGCCTCAATTTGCATGGATAATCAACCCCAGAGATAAAAAAGTTCAGGCGAGCGTGGGGACAGAGAGAAATATGAAATAAGAAGAATACAGTAGAATAATAATAAGAAAGAAGAAGAAGAGGATAATAAGAAGAGGACGAAGAAAGAAAACATCCAAAGTTCCAAATCTATCAATTTTAATTTACAAACGCTTTATGAACATTGATTGTTTTAAGTGCTCGTGTAGGGTAGCTCATGTGCTTCATTCTTCCATGGATAATCAACCCCAGGGATAAAAAAAGTTCAGGCGAGCGTGAGGACAGATAGAAATATAAAAGAAGAAGAGGAAAGTAGAAGAATAATAAGAACATTGCTCGTTTCGTTTGAGTCTGCCTCCCAAAATTATTGGTTTCGCTTGACACATCCTGAAAAAGTGTGATCGCTTCGCTTGATGTTGCTATATCAACATCGCTTGATGTTGCTATCTCAACATAGCGTTTCGAGGTGATAATGAAGTTCGGCCTCAGCGCTCGCCGCCCAATTTGAATTTTGTATAGGGCGACGATAATCAACTCTAAACACTGAAGGGGGGGGGGGGTCCCTTTATTATCATCGGCATGCGGTTACTCGGGTTGGCCTAACGGGGCCATCATGAAAATGACGCGACCCAATCTGAAATTTAACGTGAACTCCCGCCGCAAACATCCCACGAAAACTGTACCGTCAAAATCCAGGACACGCTCGTCAAAAAGCGTCGGCTAACCCAAGTTCCGGTGTACTCGGGTCTTACATTTCCCCGAATCTGGAGCCGTCGCTGTCTCCCTCGGGCGCCCCCTGGGGCTCTCTTGGGACAGTTCCTGCCTGTGCGTCGACCCTCTTGGCGCCCTCTTGGGTCCCTTCACGGAGGCTCACCGGCTTCTCTGAGGCCCTCCTATGATTATCACTTCAGCAAGATACCCCCGGAATCCCAGCAACAGAAAGGGGAAGAACGCCCTCACGTATACATGTCTGACCGATGTTTTGGACACCTGGGAGTCCTTCCTTGAGGCCACACTGTGACTCTCTGGGCCGCCCGGATGTCATGCTGCAGCCTCTCGGGCCCTCTGGGGGCCCTCTCTGGGGGCACCTCTGCAGGCATCTGGGCAGTGCCAGACGTCCTGAGATGCCTATGGGTCCCTGGAGGGCTCACTGTTTCAATACCGCGCAAGGCCTGCAAATCGGGAGGACCGCCATGGGTACGGAGAGAATGGATACGAAGACTAACACCATGTCATGTCTATTTTGAGCAAGACTCGCTGTCGGCGTCGCCGCGGACGTGGTCAATTTGAGACGGAAGAGACGGCTGCCCAACAACGGTCGCTGTCGATGTTGGGCAACATTTGCTGCAGGGCGTCGTGCTCTTTTTCCATCCCCATCACGGTCGGGGGTTGCGAAAGGTGCCCCTGGCCCAAGGTGCCCCCAGCTCTTCGCTCAACTTTGGAGCCCCTGGGGCCCTCTGGGCCTCGTGATAGGGTCCTGCGGAGACCGTGGAGTTCGTCTGCTTCTCTTTCGCAAGATGATCCAAGGTGCGCCTCGAGTGTCCTCGCCGAGAAGGCAGTGCACGCGTCCGAGTGATGCCAAGCAAAAGCAAAGAAGACCCTTCCCCCTTGAGCAAGGACCGACCGTCCCGGCATTCCTATAGGCCTGCCACGGATCGTTCTTGGAACCCAACACTCTTCTAAGAACAAACACCATGTTCTTCGAACATAGACCCGATGTGTTAAAACAAGACTGTCTCAACCAAACATGTTGTAAGAACACTTCGCGCAGACCACAAAAGGTTCTTAGAGCATTCTTTGGTGGGCCTATAGGCTAGCCGGGACGCTTCGCCACTACTTGACTGGAGCCGCAGTCGGACCGAAGGCAACGAGGCCGGGGAGGGAGGGCGGCAGGACCGGCGTCCTCGCGGCCGCCCGCCTCCAGCGCGTCCTGCACGCGGCGACAGCCCGGGTCCTGACCCCCGCGGAGCAGAGCGCGGTGGGGGCCGCCCAGAGTCGAGACGCACAGAGACATACTAAAACTATATGTCCTCCTTGGAGGAGCGCGTCCGACCCGAACAGATAGGATACCCATCTGGTAGTATATCGTTTCCCGAGCGGTGTGGCCAGAAAACGCCCGCCCGCCACGATGCATATACTATAAGATTTCTCGGTGCGCGCCTCGCCCCTTGGGGGGGCGACGCATGTTGGGGTGACGCCGACAGAGGAGGTAACTACTGGGAGGTCTTCGTCGGAAGGATTACGGAGGTGTGAGGCCCAGTGGGAGGCTGCTGCGCGGATGTGATCCGCGGATTGAGCGGGGTTACGCCGGATAAGCTGGATTAAGCGGGAATGCGCTGGATTACGCCGGATTTCGGCGTAGGGCAAACTCAGAATTTGACCTCCCAGGAGTTGCATCTGAATGGTTGGCGGCGCGCAGAGGGGGGTATTGGGGGAGGGGAGAAGGCTTATTAGAAGCACCCCTGCTTTTTAGAGGGCGACAGCCTCATCCATAGGTGTAAAACCACCGCCTTTTTGAGAAACGGGTCATCAGGTGGACGACAATAATCGTGATAGCGGGTTCCAAGCCTACGTCACGGACACAAGCGAGGAAGACAAGGCGAAGGGCAAGACAGGCACAGACCTCGAGGCGCCGTTTCACCATTGTCGGTGCGCCAGGGCACAAGTCCTACATGCCTACTTCGAATTTCTTGATAAGCGTCCTGGGGGCGTCACCCCCGCCGACAGCCCCGCATCGACCCCCGTTGCGGGCAGCCACCGCGCGCCGAAGGCGCTCCGACCCCCGTCGCGGCGCGACGACGACGCAAGGTTGACCCCGTCGGGGGGGGACCCCCCACGCATATCAAGAAACCCAGAGAACAGAGTGTAACGGACGTGCTCGTGGCCCCGACAAGACCAGAACATCTTAGGGCAGCGCGGTGCGATCACAGGCGCGCGTCCTGGATCTCCGATGTGCTGCTGTCCCGCCCAAGCGCACCTCCTCGCCCGCGGCCTGTGGGGCCCGTGATCGGGCCTCGGGGCCTGGATCCTACATGCCTAACATGATTGCCGGCGCATCGCAAGCTGACGTCGACGTTATGACCCTCTGCGCGCAATGAAATGCGAGCTCGCGACCGACCTCGACAAAGGGGGGGCAGACGAAGGAACACGCCGCGCTCGCGAAGACGCAGGGTGTAGAGCATCGCCGTCAAAGCGATGGAGGAGCCCAGCGTTCCTACGCTGGCCAAGCTGATGAGGAGGTGTGATTGGAAGCTGGGCGAAGGATGGCACATCCGTGACTGCTAAAACGATATTCCCGGAAGAAAAAACAAATTCCCATAATAAAGCTCAACGCCATGAATAATAAACGGGCTGCTTCCTGGACGAACAGCCAGCCGCCGACTTTGGCCGATGCGCTGCGCCCAGCGGCGAGGGCCTTTCGTCCTCTCTCTCTCTCTCTCTCTCTCTCTCTCTCGCAGCGGCGTCTGCCGTCCCCACTCCAGCGCGCTGGCGCGCGCGCGCGCTGGCGGCCGCGCGGGGGCTGGCATCTTCTGGAGGGGGGAATGGGGAAGGACGCCACCTTACTACCATCCTCTATCCGGAGACCCAAAAGTGGATAAGCGCGCTCCACTACTCGCAAGTCAACTATTGGCAAATGGCCTGGATCCGCCGCGGGGGGACTTTTGCGATATGTTACATCGAAGGAGACCGTGATGTTCTCGGACGCTCGCGAATAGGAACTTTGCGAGTAATGAAACGCGCTCGGCGAGAGAGGGGGGAGGGGGCCGCCCCCTCCGGCCCCCGCGCCCCCAGAGTCAGTCAAGCCATGCGCCAGGCAAAGGCGCATCGGCAAGGAATCGACAGGAGCACGATTGGCTCACGGATTCCATGAAAACATATCGGCAGGAAGTGCGAAAGCGTTGCAGACCTACACGCCATGGAGGCCGGCCCGGTGCACGCACAGAATTCGCGACATGACCTGCATGCTTGCCAAACGCAAGCGCTGGGGGTGGGAAGATAAGGGGGCCGGAGGGGGAGGGGGAAATCACATCGCCGTGCGAAACTGCATGCTTGGATCAATCAACGTACCAAACACACAAGTATTTTACTCAGAAAGCACGGATGCGTCAGCGGCATGTTCGACGACCACCCCATTACGGCAGAAGCTCCGGACTGAAAGAATAAATGATTGTGCCTCGAAGTGCTGCCCACCAGAAACCTTTCAATCTCACAGTGCCGCCCTGCCAACTTTGTGCAAAGCTGCCCTTTCAGATATGGCCTTTCAAGCTCAGTGAGATCAACGACCCCTCGTGCCCTTCCTTCTGGTCTGGGGCGCAAACAACCACATTGGTGCATAGAGCTGCCGGCGCAACATCCGAAGTGTTTGCTTGTATGTCAGACTTCTCGCTCGTTGTAGTCCCGGACGGCGCCTGCAAAGGTGCCGAAACCATTCCAGAGCAAACTTGCACGCCCATGTTGCAAGTATCAGTCATGTCCGTTTGCGTTGCTCGGCCATTGCACCGTGAGCGCCGGGGTTTGGGGAGTACTTGAGTTAGGGATGCACGCGCAGCGCAATTGCCCCTCAAAATGTTTATCTGCACTGCCACATCCTTGTCTGAAATGTATGGTTGAGTTTGGGAAGTGTGGGAAACGTAATTGTCATCCAATATGGTTGACTGAGCTGCCGCGTCTTTGTCTGACACATCGTAAACTGCGGCTTCCGCAAATGATCCATTCCCAAAGTTTGATTCACAAGCGGCCTCCCTGTCAAAGAAATATGGCTCCTTCTTCGGCGATGTCTCGGCAGCTGGTTCTTCGCGCCCCTTGCAATGTTCATCCAATTTGTCGATGCTGTTGGCCACCAGCGCATCGGCGCATGGAAAATCATGCAAACTAGCGCGGGTCAGAAGTAATTCCAGACTGCGCACTCTCTTCTCGATCTCTACCAAATTGTCGGTGTATTTCTCAACATGTTGCGCAACATTGTCTGGCTCATGCTTCGCTTGAGAAAAAATTCGTGCATCTATGGAATCCAATCGGCGGAAAAGTTCAACACATTGACTCATTACCAAATTTTGAAATTCCACTGTAGCTGCATGCCGCTGCCGGTTGCGCACTGGCCACGACGACTCTTTCCCGGGCGAGTCCAAACCTGGAGGGGCAGAGGAGCAACAGTCGATGTCCGTAATAATTTGGCAGATCAGCTGTAAGCTGTGAGTGCTGTACTAACAAATGAAAGCTATGCAGACGATGCATGATGCTTAAAGCCAGAAGAGCCTATAATCGAATCGACAAGTCCGATCGGCGATCGACATGAATCCGGTCGACGGAAACCGACCGCCGAGCAAGAAAAAATCAAATCGGCGGAAACCGGCACGCTCGCAGGCATCCATTGCGAAATCGGATCCCGAATCGGAATCCGAACTCGAATCGAATCGGAATCGGAATCCGTCGAAGACGAACCGAATCGAATCGGAATCGAAATGAGCCCCGCACCCTGCGCGGTTTGCCCCGGCGCCGCAGGCGACCCGAGGAGGAGGAGAGGGGGGGGGGGAGGGGGAGGAGATGGAGGAAGAGGAGGAGGAAGAGGAGGAGGAGAGACCAAGTCGTTCGCTCTCGAGGATGTGTTCACGCCCGAAACAATGAAGGCGATCGTGCACCACGTGTCCTGGGGCGACAACGTCGACGTTTCATGCGTCGCGAAGCCGGAGAAGCCGCGGAAGCCGCGGAGGCCGACGACGATTTACTTCGCGGGCTCGCGCGCGAAGCGCAAGGCGAAGTTCGACCCCGTCGAGTCGCCCAAGAGGCGGGCGCAGCTCAAGAACGAAATGTTCATGGAAGGTTGCCAGCGCACGGTGCACTACGATTGCGGGCCCGCCTGCTATGGCGTCTTATCACTGCTCGGCGCTCAGTCCACCCAGTCTGAGGCGCGTCTGTGGTGCAGTCGGTTTGGACTCGCCATATTCGGGCACTCAACAGCGGGCTACTCCACAGAGGAAGCCTTTGGCCGACTGGACTGACGTTCTGGCGGTGAGGCGTTCTGGGGGCATGGGCCGCGCGAGTTGGCAGCGCGATCGTGGGCAAACTACAATGAGAGCGCTACTAGTTTCAGTTTCTCGCCGCTCGTCCAAACGCGCGCGCTTTACCTGGCGTTCGCGTCGCGGGGAAAATTGTTTCTCGTCAGAATGCAGTGCAATTGCTCCAGTGTGTAAACACATAGCGTGTATTTGTATATGAGGATACAGCGCAATGCGCTGTCAGCGCAATGCGCTCTCGAATATAATGTGTATATTAATAGATGCGTGTATACATTTAGGTTTATAACAGAATACAGCGCAATGCGCTCTCTCAGGGTGTAAGATAGCGCAATGCGCTCTCTGAGGGTAATGGTTGCTGCAGCCGTGTCGGCCCAACGGCCGCTACTGGCGGCTTAGGGGTTGCGCAGCGCGCTCTCTGCTGCCGCGCCAAGCAGGTACTCCCCTTGATACCCTGGACAGGCCATGCCCGACGAACCTGACACTTGCGTGATCTGCCAGGCGGACTTCTTCGGTGATTCCCAAATTCAGCACCTTGGACGCACGCGCAAGTTTCACATGTACCGCACCGAAGGATGCGTGGCCGTCGCGGGGCTCGGAATGCTCGAAGAGGCGCAGTGTCCGCAGCGCAAGCTGGACGCCCGCGACTTGCCCACAAAGGAAGAGGCGCTCGTCCACCATGCAAACGGCCTCGGAGGTGGCCGCGCGACCACCCAGACCCATCGGACGAGGAACGGGCTGGAGGAGCTGATGCCATCGAGGAGCCTAGCGCGCCTGAGGAGCCCGGCGTGCCAGAGGAGCCCGGCTCGCCCGAGGGGCCTGCGGACGATGGGGGGCAGGGGGGGGCAAGCGACGGAGGCAAGGGCAAGGGCGGCATGGGCAAGGGCTGTGGGCGCAGAGGCAAAGGCAATGACAAGGGCAAGGTCAAGGGCTATGTGAGCGATCCCGAAGGCTTGCCTGCTGCGCCTGAGGCCCCCGAGGGCAATGAGAGCGAAGCGGCCCCAGTGCCCGATGCGCCGGAGGGCAAGGGCATGGGCGGGGAGAGCTATCCCGAAGAGTTGCCTGCTGCGCCCGAGAACGCGAGCAAGGGCGGCGTCGAGAGCAATCGCCAGTCCAAGGGCGAGGTCTCGTTTTGGTCGCAGAGGGGCGCGAACATCAATCAGGCCGCGGTGCGGTGAACGAAATGCGACAGCCATGCCCAGTTCCCGATGCGCATCGTCAAGGGCAAAGGCCAGGGCACTTTCAAGCGCAACAAGTGCAGCGCTACAAATTCGCAGCTCAGCCGAGCCTTTGGGATGGCCCTGACGTGCTTCAAGGGCATTAGTCCCGACGTGACTCAGTACTTCCGGGGCGCGGCTGGCAAGGCCCAACAAGAAGTCGCCGCCGCGGCGCAGGCATGCGTCCGCAAGCACGAAACCCAGGAAGAGTTCTTCGATGGCACTTGCGCGCATAAGCCTCTGGAACATTGGTCGCAGCAAGGCTACGACGCCGGAGCAGCCAAGGAGAAGTAGAGAGACTCTGACTCTGACAAGGTGGCGCACGATGCGCTCAGAGAGCGCCACAGGGTTCGCCTCCTGACAACGGGCGAACGCGGGGCAAAAAAAGGGGAAGAGCGGCGCCGTGGGGCGAGCGAAGCGGCAGAAATTCACGCCGAGCTGCTCGGCCGTCCAGCAGCCGGAAGAGCCCCGCGAAAAGTCCGGGGAGGACGAGAAGCCCGACGAGAGCGATTCAGACTCGAGCGCGAGCTCCCCTGCATCATCCAGCACGGAGAAGAAGAAGGCCAAGAAGGCCAAGGAGGCCAATAATCGGGCCTCCAAAAAAAAGAAAGCAAAGAAGGCTATGAAGACCCAAGAAGAGAAAGAGCTCAAGAGCAGGGACACATCAGCAACTGATCTCAAAGACAAGCTGGACGCCCCACTGAAAGCGCTGAAGGGCGCGCTCGCATCCCCTGCGAGCGCGCGCCTGCCTGCGCGGCCCCTGGGGGGGGCCGGCAAAACCAAGCGCGGGATCGCGGCAATGCTAGCGCAGGCTGCGCGGGCCAAGACCAACCTGAAGGGCGTCGTGCCAGATTTGAAAGACCTGGGCGCAAGTGCCATGCCCCCCCCCCCTCCCCCAGCGCCATGCGCAGGGCAGTTGACCTCGTCAACGACGCCGAGAAGCTGATTGGCCTGCTCAACGTGCAGCGCAAGCAGGCTGAGGAATGGCTATTTTGCGGTGTTCTGTGCGACCGATTCGTCATGGCAGTCTTTGGGTACTGGGTGCCGCGGCGACGGCGTGGGTCGCCGAAGGGCGGGCGCAGGTGCGCGAGCCAGCCCGCCCCTCAGCCTCGCTGGCCAGGGCGTTCAGAGCTGCGCGGGCCGCCGCGGCACGATTGCGGGCGAGCTGCGATCGGGGCTTGACTCGCACAGAGCGATCGCTGGCCTCAATCGCCGGCAAGCTGAAGAACGCCAAGCGCGTGCGCTGGAAAAATATAAACGCGCGTCCAAGCGCATGCGCTATATATACTGGACAATGAACAATCAAGCGCCTGCGCTATATGGGAACGCGTGCACCACTGATAAATACATATATGTATGTATATACACACCGTTTCTATTACATGCGTATAAATATGCATCTATAGATATGTATACAACCCAGAGTGATACCATCCACGTAAGTATACACACGTGTACATATATTTGTATATGTACATACATACACATACATAGTCGCGCCCCATGTTCCAATCGCAACGCGAAGCGCTCCTTTGACCCCCGCCCCCCTTCCAGCGCTTTGCGCAGTTTCTGCGCTGTCCATTTTCCTACACACGCGCGAGCTGATGAAGTCTCTTTCACAGGCGCGCTGCGAGGCGCGACGCGGGCCCCTCCCTCGCCCCCCCCCCCCCCCCCCACACTGGGCTCTCACTGCGAGCCCCAGCCCTCGCTCAGCGTCTAACCCCAGTTCGCTTGCATGTGGGCGAGCTTCTGCAACTCGTCATCGCGCTGACCACGCTGGCGCCCCATGGAGTTGCACCGGTTCTTCCAGAGCTGCCCCCGACCCCTCGGCGCAAGGGGCCCCGCCTCGAGGTCTTCGATCTGCATCGACAACATCCTGGTCGCCCACCGCGGGCGAAGCCGCGCGGCGCGCTGCAGCGCGCAACGCAGGGCCAACCGCGCAGCCTGCCGCTGCACGCCACGCATGCTGCAGCCCCCCCCCCCCCCCCCCTCCCATCCTGGAGGAGGGCGGGGTGGGGTAATTGCAAAACCTCCCATGCCGATCCTGGCGCTTGAAGTCCCGGCCCCCCATCCCTCAGCTGCACCCGCGCGCCGCGCCAGTTCGCACGCTGCGCTGGGCATCTCGAGGGAAGCGAGTCGAGATCATTCCTGGGCGAGGGGGCCCCTGACGCGAGCGCGAACGCCCGGACGTTGGCGGCGCTGGCGGCGCTGGCAGCGCTGGCTTCTTTTTCGCGATACTATTGTTCTCTCTCGCCTGATCCTTAACTCCCCCTTCTTCCGAAGAATCAGACCCCGCGATGTCAGTTTCAGACCTCGTGGTGTCCTCTGAGTCGGGGCCTAGCGACTTCCTGTCATTCTTCATCTCCCCCCTCGAAGATTCGACCGAGGCAGGCCCCGTGACTTCCGAGTCAGTGTCGGTCGCCATGTCGTCCGAGTCCGCGCCTCGCTGGGCGGCGAGGTGGCTCGCGCGCGGCGCGGGGGCACTCGCGCGAAAAGCCCGGGACTTCAAGCGGCCGCGGCAGCGTATGCGCTACGAAGGGTCGCGGGCAAGCTGAACGAGGGAGAGAGGGGGGCGGGGGGGGCGGCGCTTGCGCGTGGGAAAGGGCGGGACCAACGACGAGATCGCTTGACAGCGGGCGGGCTGGATGGCAGCGCATGCGCGATGAACGGCGGCGGGCGGGCTGAACCAGGGATAGGGGGAGATGGGGCGCGGGGATGAGGGGGGGGCAGAGACCGCAGAGCGCGCGGCGCTAGGGGGGAGCAAGCGGCGCCAAAAGGAGATCGCATGGGGTCGCCACGCACGCGCTGCAACTTGGAGAGAGCACGGCGCTAGGATAACAGCCTGGGGCCTGGGGGGGGCGGGAAGGCAGAGGAGAGGGGCGGTGCGCTCCTGTCCGTTCCTGTTGTGCACCACTCGCAGCGCTGCGACGCCAGCGCCGTCGGCGCCGCACGTGCGCGCGCAGATGCTGAGAGCGCGGCGTCCGCGCGCCACGCCTCGAGGCGTCCGCCAACCTTCCATCGGTCGGAGCGCGCTGGCAACCTAACCGCGCGCTCGAATGCCCCCCACCAATACCAGGCAATGACCATCAGCGGCGCAGGCGCG